AAGGGCCTAGGGCCAGGCTTTCAGAAGCCTGGGGATTTTGTTATATCTTGTCCTTTAAATCAGCAAACGGAGGAAATTCCCGTGTATTTCCTGGCCTTTGACCTTCAGTGCAGGTATTAGTATCCATCTCAAGGGTAGCTGAGGACCAGTTTTTGAAGTGCCAGAATGGGAAAAAAGGGCAAAGTTGATGCTTGAGATTGAAGCACAAATAGGACTGCCTCTTTTATAGCACTTGATTTGCCAAAGCCAGGAAACCAGTGGGTAGGTGTTTAAGGCCACATCTTTTCAAGGATAAAAGTCATGGTCCTAAAAATGTAGATTGCATGTAAATTTTTCTGACAGTCAGTGTAAAGAGTTGCAAGGTAAAAGATAATACTGAACAGAGGTTCTGATGGTAATTTGATCCATGGCCTGATAGCTCCCAGGGTCACTGTCAGTTCTGCAGGTCAGACTCAAGAAGGGAGAATATTAGTGACTTTCTTGATGAAACAGCTCTTCTTTGAATCCATTTGAACTGCTTCCTCTTTAGTTTGTGGAAAAACTTGTCAGAGCCTCAGTAACCTCTTGGGGGAAGAAAAAGACCACTATAAATTTAGGAATTGGCTTTTTTCTCTCAAACTTGTACCTAGGATCATACTACCAATTCATTGAGAACAATGAGACCTGCTTATAATGAAGGATATGATTTGTTTCCCTTTGTAAAAGGAGAGAGTGGGCATCAAGGGGAGAAAAAAGGAATTGGCAGAAGGCCGTGTCCTGTAAAACTTTATAGAATTTTAAAAATCAGAAATGGAAAAGATCCAAGAGGTCATCTTCAGTCCTCCCACCACATCAGGGGCCAGCACAGGACCATTCCATATGGAATCCTGTTTTTGTTTTGTCCAACCTGGTATTAAATATCTCTAGGAATGTAGTTTTCACCACTCCTGGGGGAGAGAGTTCTTCTGTTCCATAGGTTTTTGCTGGCAAATTTCTTCTGAGTTTTCCCTTTATAAATATTCTCTAAATGTTTACAACAATTCCTCTTTGCGTTTTTTAGAGATCAAAATAATTTCAGTCTTTACTGTGGGTGTCAGCTTCCAAAAAAACTTTCCTCATACATGTTTTTTACCTCGACTACCTGGATTTAATTCTTTTAAAACTTTCTTTTAAGTCAGTCCTTCCAGACACTGATCTATTTTATTGTTCCTAGCTGAACTCCTTTTGATTTATATCTCCCTGGTAATAAGATAGTCTGAACTGTATCAGTATTGGAGGCCTTAGCAGAATTAAAGGGAGTAAACCAAAAAAACCCCAAACCCATTGCTGTATGAGTTGACTCTGACTCATAGCAATCCTATAGGACAGAGTAGAACTGCCCATAAGGTTCCTCAGGCTGTTAATCTTTATGGAAGCAGACTGCCTCATCTTTCTACCTTGGAGCTGCTGATGGATTCAAACTACTAACCTTTTGATTAGCAGCTGAACACTTTAACCACTGTGCTATCAGGGCTCCTCTAAAGAGAGTAAGAGTGTCCTCTTTCTGCCCTTTGATGCTTTCACATATCCTTAAGTCACCCACATTGTCTTTGTTGTTCCATGTTGCATTGCACAATTCAAGGCAAAAACATTTTTTGGTATGGCCACCTTAATTCTGAAAACACTACACTTTGATTGTCACTTTGCATGCAGAGATAATTGCCACCATGATGAGCATCAAAAATTAAGTCTTCTCAGTATAAATTACCTCATAAAGGGACTTGGGCATAGAGGTACCTTATATATTTTTCAAGGATGTATTTACTTAAACATAATGTGGAATAACGCCATACATTTTGAATAATAAGGTATACCTGTGGGGAACCTGAGATATAGTGGGGAGAATGTGAAATTTGGAGTTAGAAAGTCTGCATTGCAGGCCTTCTGTCACTCAGTGACCGTGTGGTTCTGGACCTACTGCTTCTCTCTAACAAATGGATAATAATACCTGCTTCCCATTGCTTCCGTGAGAGTTCCAAGAGGTATTGTGTGTAAAATAATTTATCAACTGGAAAGCACTAAATGAAAGCTATGGATTCTTAGTTTTACCAAAGGCAACTGCAGAAAATTTATAACTTATAAAAAGTTTGAAATGGAATTAAGGAAGGAATAAGATTAGATGAGGCCAAAATTTATATAGAAGGAAGTAGATTTGGAAAATTGGTTGAGAAGATTAAGAGACTATAGGGACAGTTATCTTTAAGGAACAGAGGTGGAGAACATAGATGGCTTTTTCTTTGGGTAATGAGAGAAGAGACTTTTCTTTAGTTTTTTTATATACTGACATTTTCAAATGAACTGACAGTTCCAGTTTGGGCAAAATTTCTGGTTAATTCATTCGTATTGCTACCTTGGTGTGATTTTTTTCTTTTGTCTTTTTTTCTTAATTAAATCATTAATAATACAATTAACATGTGCTTTCATTTTCCAAATGCTTTTTG